CGCTGTACCGCGGCCGAAGACCGCGCGGCCGGGCTTGGACGGAGCCGTCAGGACTCGGCAACGCGCAGATCGCGACCTCCTCTTCTCTACTCTTCGCCGTCGGACTCGAGCCACTCGGTCTCGAGCCGGCGACCAGACACGACTTCAATGGAGGCGCTCATCTGACCGGCATTGAAAGACATTTTGCCCACGTCCCGAAGGTCTTGCGACTCGACGACGTCCTCCCATTCGACCCCCGGCACTAGCCAGCCTCGACAACTACACTCTGGCCGTTGCCATGCCGACGGACCTCGAGACACGGTCAACTTGGCCTATGAAGGAAATGTATCGTCTGTGTTGAGATTAATGAGACAATGTATTGTCACTTGTCTTGTTCAGGCTGTCTGCCGTGTTGGCGGTGACCGCGATTTCAGCACCACCTTCGCAGTGGTATCCAATTCAACTCAACTTTCGCGTTGAGGAGTACAATTTCGCCACATTACGATGCCCGATTTGAGAGGCTTGCTCCGCCTCGAGAGTTTCGTGGGCATGAGACTCTTCCGACGCCTGTTGCAGGCTGTGCTGTTCGGGATAACGAGCCCGACTGGCGAAGAGACCAAAGCCCAGAAAAGACTTGTTTCTAACAAAGGCATTAGCCGGAAATGATGCGCGCAAGCTGGACGCTCAATGGGTCCAGTTAGGGGACTTGGATAAACAAATGTGTGGAGTAGAGTAGAGTAGGAGGGTGGAGAGGAGAGAAGAGGTAAGTGTTGTATGAAAACATGCAGACAATGATCGGGACGTCGTTGCTATTCAGGTCTGATGAGGTGTTGATAGAGTTTCGGAATTAAGAGTGATTGAATGGAGGCGAACAAGTCCGGCCCCAGTTAACGAGACCAAACTGATCTGGGATTCTCTGCCTCATGATCGCAAACGAACGATTGGAATTCGGACGGGTTCACCGGGTTTTGTGGTCCCAGTCATCGGAAAGGTGAGCGATGTACGAATAGGCCTTGGCGCTTACTCAGCTCTACGCATTATGGACCTGCAACACTGCTCGACTCACTCTTGTCGGAGCTCGAATCGCGCTGAGGGTACGGATAGGTCGAGTGAAAGTTTTGGTGAAGAGACTCGAAGGTCGATTCCACCAGAAGACGACGGAGGATTCCTCTTGACCAGGTGTCGATTGGTTTGACTGGAGCGTTCATGGTGACGCTGTTTCCGAGGCAATCTCCTTCGATTCCGGTGAAAAGGTACTAAGCTTTTGGTCCGTTACATGACGAACATCATCAAGGCAGGGTAGCATCGTCACAACCAAATTCAGGCTGAGTCAAGAAAACTCACCGACAAATCCCTAAAAAGTGGTATACATACTCTACATCTGGCCTCTGATCAAGTATAAAGTGATTTGCTTAGTTACGGTGAGTGTGTCTGTCTCTGTACGCGTATGTGCCTGTTTGTGTTCGCTTATGCACTAAACCAGCAGTGACGGCTCAAAGTAATTAGTATTAGAGTAGAGTTTCGAGACTACCAGTAAATCAGTACTATGAGATGTTTTCACTCTATTTCGTCCAAAGTGATGAAGGACTGGTAGAAGTAGAATTTTCCCACAAATGATATGAGTTGAGCTGACATTTCCACTCAATTTCACATAGCCATGCTCTCCCAAAAGTTGTTCTCATCCCGGCTGAAGTGGACTCCAGTTTCGACCTCGCATCGGTCTTATCAACACTCTCAGCGGGAGTCGAACCGTGAAAGTGCACAATGGGAGCTTGACACGCTAACCACTCGGCTTCACTGCCACGAGTACCCTTGAGCGAAAGGGCATAAGTGAATTTCGAGGAAGGTCAGGCCTCTTTGCTATATCATATTCTTTTGGTGGGAGTGCCGA